TTTTATTTTTCTTTTTAGAAAATGAAGCACTTGGTGCAAAAACGGACCATGCGAACGATTTGGTTGGGGGATTTAAACGGGCAAGTTCAATGATATCACTTGCAAGTGAACTTGCAGGTGATATTGATGGTCTTGAATTATCGTCGACGGTTGATGTTGATGAATCACCAGGAGAAATCGCCGATGAACCACCAGGAGAAATCGCCGATGAACCACCAGGAGCTGCCAATGAACCACCAGGAGCTGCCGCCGTAAAAAAGCCACCGCCACGAACACGAAAAGTGTTGGGCGAAATTGAAGTTCACAAAAATAAAAAAAATGAAAAAAACCGGAAGGAATTTATTGAAAAATTCCTTACCGGGAATACGTTTAACAATTGTGTTTTTCATTTTTAATTAAATAGAAATGCAAAATGTTAATTAATATTGTAATTTGAAAAAAAAAATAATAAATGTAATTTTACTTAGCTTTATGTATGGCAAGATTTTATTATAATAAATAATTGCCCTTAATTTAAATATTTGGTATTATTCCAAAATCGGTTAAAAAATATCAAGGCGTTGCTGCGCCATGATCATATGAGTTTGCCGGATAACATAAAATTATGAGCAGGAACATATTCATGTGGGCAAAAAATTAGGCATATTTTTAGCATAATTTCTCATAAATGCATACAGATTTTAGGATCTGTTGCTGCAGAAAATGACCCAGGTCAGAAAATAATTACCCGAGCGGGTCAGATATTGACCCGGGTCATGACCCGAATTACTGTAATGACCACTTTTTTTTCTTACCCAATCTTGTCACATTATTATTGAGTTAAAGGTTTAAAGACACTGGTGAAATTGTTGAAATCAATTTTATCATCTAGCTTGCTCTATTTTTTGGTTTATTTGACGTTAACCAAAGAATTTTTATTGCTTCAAAATTATTATTATGCAAGGTTTGCACAACATAATTACAATTCAACTAATTCCAATTTTATTATTAATCAAAAAATTTTAATACATGAAGAAATACACAAAAAGCGTGTAATTTTTAGCAGATTTGTAAAGGCTATACTTTTCTAGTTTCTAAAAAAAAAGCTCATTCGGTATTCTTAAAAAGTGTACCGATATAATTGAGGCTAGGTAAAGTATCTCGTGTACGTACGTAAAAAACTTAGAAAGCCGAAGAGTAACTTTATAGAATTTATATTAATTATAAAGTTACTAGTTAACTTTTAGTCTGCTATGGGAATGTAAGTCTTTAGCTACACTCTATTTTACAAAAAAAAACAAAAATTAGGTTAGGTTATTGGGAAGTATTAAAGGTCCAAAGAACTATATAGGCCTTTTACTCAACAGTATACACCTTCGGAAATAAAATAAATAATAAATTTCAAAATAAATTTATTCTAATAAACCAAATGTTTATATGAATACTACTATTATGTGTACACAATTTCATTAGCTAAAATAATCATCCCTATCATCCAACGTGCTAAGTTTCTCTTTAAGCATCTTAGCAGTAAACATTGAAACCCCTGGTATAACGCCAAGGTCACTTTCAGATAAAATGGAGCCTGAACGCATTGGCGGTCGAGGTTGCGGAACCATATGAATTGTGTTGCAGATAAATGGCGATGATGATTTCTTTGAAGAGTATTTTAAGATCATTTTAATCTCTTCAAGTAAAGTTTCATATCGGAATTCCATTCTTAAGTCGGGAACATTGGTTTTATGAATATCTATTATATGATAATATATTAATAAAAAAACAGTCCTCAAAAAGTAGATTTTATAATATGAATCGTTGCATACCGTTTCCTTTTTTACCGGGGATGTACCATTCTTTTCCTAGCCAATGTTTTTTAATCGCCATTTCAAATCCACTTTGTACAACTGAATTACGTGCAAGTTCACACATATCCGAAGATGATAATTTCCAAATCTACCAAATTTAAATATGTACATTTTAATATAAGGAATAAGGATGATTATTAAATATAAATTAAAGACCTGAGCAGCAACGCTATACTCCTCAATTAATGGTTCTCTAGTGTAGTGAAATTGAAGAGGATCGTCTGTACTTAAACTTATGTTCAAACCTTTCTGGAAAAAGCTTAAGAAAGGATTTCTTTCGTAATTCAAAAATAAAGCATTATTAGATAAGGGAGACATTGCTATTCCGATTTGTTTAAGATAATAAAGATATTGTAACGCAGGAACTTTGCGTAACAAGATTCCGTGTGATATAGATTTTGAAGTAAGAAAAGCTGAAGCTAAATGGTCAGTATCTCCAGCTTCACCAGCGTGTGGCCGAAGAACAAAAGTATCTTAAATGGATTAATGTTTAATTACTCACTGTTATTCACGCAAATAGTAATAATAATAAACACATACTAAATCCTCTAGCTTTTCTCCATTGATTCAAACTTGTCATATTAGCATACATATAATATAAATAATAAGAATAAGGTGGATTAAGGTTCGTACTCCAATCTTTTGGGCAAGGGTATTTTTTATGAATACGTCGTTCTGCTTTAGATTCGTCATCTACACTATCAAATCCCACTACACGTTGGAGAAATACATGCAACTCCGGATGAGATCTCGGATCTTTCGTAACCTCATACAAGGGTTCGAATAAATCTAAAGTCATCATTTTTTGAATGCGTCAATTTTTTTCTTTTGTGTTTGAAATATTATATGGCAAAATAGTTTCCAAAATTAATTGAAAAAGAATGATACTTTTAAGAATATCTTCAAAATTTTCAACAGTTTTGGCTTCTTTATATACATTGTAAAGTCTTGGAACTTGAATAAGCCAACGAACATTCGGTGAGAATATTTTAAAATCCACAACCCATTTGGCTAGTTTATCCCATTCAGACTTTGAGCTACATAATATCGTCGCAATTAAATTTAGATATTATTGATAAAGATTTGTGGTAGAATATTAATTCATATACTCATTCATATACTCATTTATATGTGTCTTACCGTCCATATATCGAAACTCGATATTCTGCCATCTGATATTTGCTTGATTCAAGATCAGAAATCACCTCTATAAATAAATGCAGAACAAATAATCAATAATTTACGACAAGCGCGATCATGCGATAATCAATAATGTTTTACCTCTGGTAAGCTCTGCAAAATATCTTCCATTGACATAATTATCTGTTTTCAAAAATATTTCTCTTAAACGAGATTCTCCAATAGGATTGTATTTCAAATTAAATTTATCAAATCGATGGAATGAATCAGTGTGGGCCTTCGCGGTTTCAAAGAATGCTCTAATTAATTTCGAATTATAATAAACTAAAATAAACTAAACAGTTGATTTATAAAACACAGAAGCTTACATGCATATCTAAGGTGTCGATACTAAGATCATATGCGGTTAAATTTAAACTTTCAAATACTTTGGTAAGTGTAAGCACCTGGTTATCTCTGTAAATTACTTCGTCCTATATAGTTTTTTAGAAAACAAGCAATGATGACTTAATAATTTACGAATATCTTTTTTTTTTTTTCTGTAAATGAAAGGTTTTACACACTTTAGGATGCTTCTTTAATTTAGACTTTATAAACCTTAGTAGATGTTTTGAGTTCATACATGAAGATAGATGAACATGGGTATCTACTTTTCTAACATTATAAAAATCTCTATGAGGAACCCTCTAAAAGAATTCTTACTGTATTAATATGTTTAGACTTTAAATGTAATTATTAGGATCGTATTGTAATTCTCGTTACCTTTGAATCAGCCATTTCCTGAAATTCTTTTAGTAGCACATACATATTCCATTTTCCTTCAAGGTAACGTAAACGTCTGTATGCATAACTTTTTATTGGCCCATCGGAAATTACTTTAAGAATGTAATCAAGGTCCTTAAAATATTCTTTATTCTTCGGTACTTCATAAACAGGTATTCCCTTATCAAGGCCTAAAAAGGATAGTAAGTATCTCTATTCTAAAGGTAGATAATTAACATTAATATTTTTATATAGTTACATTCTTGATTAATGTAAACTTGATAAACACCATCTTTATCGATCGCGTAAAGAAACTAAAGAGTCACAATAAAGATCTTTAGACTTTTAATTACAGATCGCGAAATTTGCGAAAAAATTATAGCTTACATTATGTTTTTCAGGTATAATACACTCATCAAATCTGAACTCTTCGCCAACAGGCCTATTTTTGTCACCATGTCGTTTATGTGGTCCATACGGTGATTGAGGATATTCTACCCATCCAATTTTATCTTTAGGATTATCACCCAACCTTTGTAGTGAAAGTTCCATGTACTTATCACGTAATTCAAGACATTTTTGAAATTCGGTATAGATAGTTTGCAATTCGACCTGAATATTCTCATCTATTTTGTATATTAAATTAAATTAAATTTAATTAAATAAAATAATCGACGTTGGAACGATATCCAACCTACAAATTCTTCTGATTCAGCTTCGGCATAATCGTTTATGTTTCCGATATCAGACGGCATGTTTTCTGAAGGTGTCGTTGCAGAATGTCGTGCCCAGTATGCAGAATCGTTCTTTTCCGAGATTATATGAATTTTGAATAATGCGCGAAATAAATTTTATTAAGCCTAATTAAACGCGTTTCATCAGATAAAATAATAATAATTTAAGTTTAAATTAGAACCTACATTTAAAATAGTTTTATCGACATGATAGGAATAATACGGACCATCCAATTTATTTAAGCTCAATTTACGTTGAAAATTATTTTTATCCTGATTAAATGAATCACTAATTTGTTCTTCTAAATCCTCCTTACTGCTATCAACAGTTTCTTTTAGCATTTTGGCTGGAAGGTTTGGTCAGTTTTTTTTTTGGTTTAAACTTACGTTTATCACTATGATCTAATATTTGATGTTCAAATTTAAATTCACATGATTACGTAAATGGTTGACAAGAGATTCGGGACCGTTACATTCCCCTAATTTTTAAATCCATAACAATAGAGCCCGAGTATACCGATACGTATTATAAAATTGAAAAGGAAATTTTGAAGAGTATACTCCGCATTTTTAAAGGACAGTCAATGGTGTCTACCATTTCTATCATATGGCGCTATTGATCAATTGTCTGGAGAAACGGAATCCTCCTCTCCGCCCACTGATAATCCGATGCCTTCGGCCAATCAATTTCGATCATCAAGTATATCGATTGCGTCAGTTTATTGAAAATTTCCAATTAAATAAATAACCTACAGACCTAGCATTAGGAAAATTGATCAACGAATTTACTCTTAATTTATCGTTATATTGTTATAGAAATGTATTAAGAAATTGAACATCTTTTTATAGTTGGTTATCGCTATCGCTATACACAAGCCTACAATACAGGAATTTGAATATTGTCCGAAGAATATCAGATAGTCATCCTGATGTTTGTGTGTATGTGCACGAATTACGAAATTTTATTGGTTAATTAGGAAAATCAACTGTTATTTTTTATATAATTAAACACAGTTTAAAATAAGATTAGCTTTAGAGTTGGAAAATACAATAGTTACAGTTTATGCTAAACTTTTGCAAGGAATATTGTTAGAGATACCAACACATCCCGTGTACATGTCGTGCCTCAGACTAGCGCTTGCGTAAGATTGCAGCTAGTATAAATTAGAGTTTAATAATTATTTAATGCTAGTTATCTAATAATTATTTGAGGTGTACAGTATTAGCTAAAATTTTATACAAGTGTTAATCTGAGAATCTGAGATACTACTGTATATATATAACGTACTGTATAAATAAACTTTTTTTTTAATTTGTATTTTATTAAACAGAAGTATAAAATTTTGCACGTTTTTAAATGTTTTTAGCTTGTGTCAGTAGTTACTGTAAGAATAATCAGTATGCTATATCTCGAAAATGTACTAAGTAAATATGGTCGAAAAAATGGGCAAGACATCTGAAAACCTTACGAAAACCGAGATCGGAACTTTATATCCAATCTACATTATGTTATACAGCATAAAACTATTTATATAAAAACCTCTATTTTATTTTAAAGCTGCACCCTAACCCTAATTTTAATAAGGGTGGCCACTGGCATAATTAAGAGTTTTATAAAATAATTGTATTTATACAGTATATTGTAATACTGTATTTGGAGTCTTTGCCTTGAAAATCATATTATAGAGCATAGTAATCATAACGTAATTTCCAAGGCAAAAACTTCATTTAATTTATACGTATATATATATAAACGACGGCGTTTCATAGAACTGGAGCCTTATCGATTAAGTTCTGAATTTTTTCGGTTTAAAAAAAAAATGCTATATATATTGTATGATTGTTAATACGTAGAATGTGTTAATTTTATTATAAGTACGTATACATATGCAAACAGATACGTATAAGCTTCAGTGTCACAAAAAGAAAAATTCAAAGTACATACATGCTCCTCATTTACTATAACTATAAGCGTAAGCAGTCTAGAAATTTTTTCTAAAAAAAAAGCATTTAAGAGACATTGTGTTTCGCACCAGGGTCGAAAAGGGTCAGTACACTATATAGTTTTGTTTATGAAAATATAAATTATCGTTATAATACAACCATCTTAATCCAAAAACCCTAAAGAGCTGTCTATTTAACACTAACCATAAAGAGCTTTTAGAATGATTATTTCGATTGGGATGTTAATCGGGCCCGCAGTAATTGTCAGCCCGACTATGAGCAAGATTTGTAAAAAATTGGCATTTTTAACAGGTATTCGTCCAATAAGTAAAGTCATAGAAAAGTAATTTTTTTATAACATTTTCTAATAGAAGTTTATCGGTTTTCGCATTAGTTTTTGAGTAATTCAAATAGGACGGATTAGGGACGATCAGCTAAATTTTCTCTACACAGCTCGGTCCCTAGGTCCAATTCGGATAAACTTTTATTAGAAAATGTTATTAAAAAACCACTTCTCCGAATTTACTTATTGGACGAATACCGTTAAAAAATGCAAATTTTTTTTACAAATCATGTTCAAAGTCTGCTGACAATTGCTGCGGGACCCTATTATTCGATTATTAAATATTCACGTTACCTGATGATTGGCTAAAATTCATATGACTGGTCGATTTCTACATCATGTGTATTATGCACTTCTCTACCGTGAATATTGGAGAAATCCACAAATTGTTCGTCATTACAATAGAATATATGGGGTTGAGTCAATAGAAATCAAGCAAATATTTTTTAATAAGTTTTTTTAAAACTTTAAACAAAAATAACTTAACAAACAATCAAATTTAATAAAACTTTTTTTTTAAATTAATTTTACAAATAAAAATTATTTAAAAGGTATACTAATTAAATATAAATTATACAGTATATTATGTATTATTACCTGTTCATTATTATAGACTCCATTCAAGTTATTAGTTCATTACTTGTTTTATTACATAAAGCTACTTCTAAACTAGAGATGCAATCCATTATCTATTTTTTTATTTAAGGATTCTTTATAATAATTTTATTATAAAATTATATTAGAGGATATCTGGATTGCATCTCTAACTCTAAACAAATATTCAAACCTATTTATTATTATTAGAACTAGTAATGGCATGTGTATGAACTTTAAGATCATACACATATATTGTCACAATGCCATGGCCTTTTTACACCAACATGGCAAAGTAACATGGCATCCGGTGCAGGGACCCTACTGTTGGGGTGTACACAGGATAGAAGTGGAGTGCACTAACAACTTCACTAGCAGGAGACAACAGTTTAGCATTGAGTCAGTATATTAAGTTAATACTTTATTTATTATAGATCAAAGGAGGATAACTTCACCTAATAGGATTACTCTAAAGGGAGTATATCACTTTATACAAATACAAGAAGTGTAAGAAGGTAAGGCTAGATTCTATGAGAGGGTAGGGAATTCTCTGACTTGAGTAGAAGGGGCAAAGGCTTCTTTTTTATAACTTTTCCACACATAAGAGATATAATAGTATAACTGCTAAACCATATAAAGGTACTAAAAGGTACTCGTGCAAAGGTGCCTTATTTAACTAGTCAATAGAATCTTTATAACTAATATAATAATAAAGATAATAACTAATACTATACTAATAAGAGGTGTAGCAACTTAGTGTAGTGTCTAGTCATCACTCTTTCCAAGTGGCAGGTTTAGAGTTCAAATCCTACAGATGATGAATTTTAAAAAATAGCCTGTGCTATAGTTTACAGTTGTCGATTATCGGTTAGATCTAGAAATCTGTAATCTCGATCACACTATCTAGTTATGGGAGCTTTGGTGCAATAAATCTGAAAAACCAGAATAACTGAAAACCCATTTGGCAAGTCCCGAATTTAGAGGTAGCAGTGATCTTTGACGGTATCACAAGAGGGCTGAATTCGAACCAGGGCCCGAGATTGGAGAACCGAGTAACCAGGTCCGCTAACGGAGAACACACTAGCTAAACTGCTGGGTTGTCGTACTGAAGAAAAATGGCATACACTCTGAAAATATAAACCAAAAGGAGGGCGTTCTTTAGACACCTAAAGTCTAGGCAGACCGACCCTTCTGAGTTGCTGGCTGGAAGTAAGGAAGAGACTGATAAAGAATCCGGGTAAGAAGATGGTCTGAATGTGAATATCGGGGTTGTTGTGAACCGAATAAGAGCAAGAAGTATGTAATGGGCATCTAGTTAGAAAGGTTAGTGCTTGAGTTATATCTGTAGAATGGCAGCATTCCAAAAGATGGTGTGAAATACGAATATGGAAAGACAGGCCAATATGTACTAATTAGGAAGAAGTTATAGAAACATGCAGGTGAATACAGTACATGTGTGGGACATATACCACTCTGTTAGGTTTACCTCGAGGATAGATTAGCTAGAAATAGTTGGTAAGTTCTAAGGCAGTTAGTAATCCTTTGCCAGGGTGATACCAAAATCTATATATAAATGGTAAGGAAACCCGGAGTTAGGTAGTTAACTGGTGGCAGTTGTAACCAGATGGTTTAAATAGATACCCCCCTAGTTGGAGTGCAGATATGGCAAATAGTGTAAAACCTTTGGGCGAACTACTTAAATTAGGCACTCAAAAAGTGCATGTGTGGCTTGATGTACCATCATTGTAATTGCATATAAAACACCGTTTCAAATCCTAATAAAAGCTTTCAGGCCAAAGAGGTCTCCTTAACCAAAAAAAATAAATAAATAAATTTTGATATGATAGACATTTTTCAATTATAAATGAAAGTCAATTTGCATAATAAAAAACCAAGATAATGCAAAAGAAAATTACACGAAGCTGTGTAAAGCCAACACATCATGAGATTATCCGATAGTCACCTGTTGCCTTTAACCAATCAAAATCATAAAATTTGATAATTCCGAATTAGTCCGAAATCAAAACAAATAATTAAACTCAATTATCTCAAAATAAAATATATGTAAAAATGGGCTGTTTCTATTAAAATTACCCATATATCCAAGTTTTTGTAAAATTATATATATAAATATATGAATTTTTGAAAATTTTTTATATAGTCTAGGGGGAGGTCAAGAGCTACTATGTAGAGATATATAACGTTATATATAGATACTCCTTATCTAGAACGAAGTGACAGATCTTTAATTTCTATACATAGTGATACAAAAGTTACTTTCTTGATATATCAAATCTTAAAATATCAAAAAAGTAACTTTGTATTTTTTGTTAGTCCACTAAAATACAAAAGTTACTTTCTTGATACATCAGATATTATTCTTTTAAAATTAAAAGTTTTTTAAAGAAAGTTTTTTTTTTACTAAATAACTCAAAAAAAAAGTATATAGTAACAAAAACCA